TTGCTGGGAGTTGGAACCCTATTAGTTAGGTTGCTTAATATTTACGCTAAGTACTCTTTAAAATACCAGAATAGGGAGGATGGTGTAGGTTTAAGTTTGTTAGATTGATCAGTATTGCTGAACTATGAAATGTATTTTTTTTTGCATACAGGTATAACAGAATAGCTTTAGTGTAGTTGTTGTTTTAAACTTGAGTATGAACTTATACAAAATGCAGTAAGATATTTTTAAAAAAACAGTTTTGTTGATTAAAAAACACTATATCGGATTCATATCGGTATCGGCAGATATCCAAATTTATGATATCGGTATCGGTATCGGACATAAAAAAGTGGTATCGTGCCATCTCTAGTTCAGTGTGCTGCCCATTGTGTTGGACTGTCAATGCAACCCTCTTCTCCCACTCTTCACACACTGATAGCAACACCGCAGGAGAAATGCCAGCTCAGGCATCCAGTATCTGTAGTTTCAGGTGCTGCACATCTCGTATCTTCACACCATAGACAATTGCCTTCAGATGACCCCAAAGATAACAGTCTAAGGGGGTCAGATCGGGAGACCTTGGGGGCCATTCAACTGGCTCACGATGACCAATCCACTTTCCAGAAAACTGTTCATCTAGGAATGCTCGGACCTGGCACCCATATTGTGGTGGTGCACCATCTTGCTGGAAAAACTCAGGGAACGTGCCAGCTTCAGTGCATAAAGAGGGAAACACATCATCATGTAGCAATTTCAAATATCCAGTGGCCTTGAGGTTTCCATTGATGAAGAATGGACCCACTAGCGTTGTACCCCATATACCACACCAAACCATCACTTTTGTTGTTCCAACAGTCTTGGAGGGATCCATCCAATGTGAGTTAGTGTCAGACCAATAGCGGTGGTTTTGTTTGTTAACTTCACCATTCACATAAAAGTTTGCCTCATCACTGAACAAAATCTTCTGTGTGAACCGAGGGTCCTGTTCCAATATTTGTTTTGCCCATTCTGCAAATTCTGTGCGCCGATCTGGGTCATCCTTACTGCAGTAGCTGGAGTTTGTAAGGGTGCCATTTGTGAGTAGCTAATATCTGCCGAAGGGATGTTCGACTAATGCCACTCTCCAGTGACATGCGGCGAGTGCTACGCTGTGGGCTCTTGCTGAATGAAGCTAGGACAGCCACTGATGTTTCTTCATTAGTGACAGTTTTCTTGCAAATCCAACACTGAACCAGTTTCACGAAACTTAGCAAGCAGCTTGCTAACTGTAGCATGGGAGATGGGTGGTCTCGTAGGGTGTCTTACATTGAAATCTGCTACAATGACCTAGTTACTGCGTTCACCAGATATCAACACAATTTCGGTCTGCTCCTCACGTGTTAACCTCTTCGACATGTCAATGGCTGTGAACAAAGAGAAACTTGTAAATAACTCATGAAAGAATAAAGTTACGTTGAAACCAAGCACACCATTGTTTTTCTTGTGACATTACCAATAAGTTTGATGTGTCACATGGCCCTCTTCCTATTGAAAAAACAAAAGTTGTATCCAAGATGGCCGACTTCTAAATGGCCACCATGGTCACCACCCATCTTGAGGAGTTTGCCCCCTCACATATACTAATGTGCCACAAACAGCACAGACAACCATTCCCATTTTATTACGGTGTATCCATATAAATGGCCCACCTGCAAAGTTCCTGACTTGGTTAGATGTTGTGAAATTGTTTTTCTAACTGTGGTAATAAAGCAGTCATCATGACCTTTAGCTGTCTTCTGTGGTCATTCAGGTGTTTTGTGTGAGTTGCTTAGCTGCTCAGTGCAGTCCTTCCTTTAATAATAAATGAGATAGTAGGTTTGAGGTTCTTGCTCTCTCTGACTGGTTTATTTGGGTTTTTTCTATTACGATTTTCATGCAGTTTTCCTATAATTCACAGCGTGTACATCAGCTAAATTTGTTTCTTCACTGAACACTCAGTCAGGTTATTGGTCTAGCTAGCTGATGATGTTGCTTTCTGAATTCTAGTCTCCAACAAGCTTCATGCCTGCAGTTCAAACCAAGTCTGCACGAATCTGTTACAGGTAATGAAAAGAAATCCACATCTCCCCTGTTTACAGCCTCTCTGGTAACGTCTTCTTTTCATTAGACTAACAACCACATGACTAGTATCACAATAAAGTAATCTCTGCTTGTAGCAGTTGTTGTATGTTTAATATAAAGCCAACCAGTTATAGAACGTACGCATGTGATATGACGCGAGGTAACAGCTCTAATTTACAGATCCATTTTCAGATATTTGGGTTTAACAGGTTTGCAGTGGTCATTCAGATCCTCTGTGTCACATAGTTTCAGGTGTCCTAGTCCAGGTGTGTTCCTGTGTACTCTGACTGGAGTCATGTTTAATATAAGTCAGGAAGCAGAGCTGCTGTACAGGATTGTCCAATGGGATGAGGACCTCCTCCATCCAGGCAATATAATAGCTGCAAGCCCGCTTTTCAATATTGAGAGTTCAAAGGATGCAATCCGTCAGCTTCACCTCCCACACTGTGAACCACAGGAAGGTGAGCAAAGCACTGCTCATGACATGACACAACTGTTAATCCATAGTTCTGATGGCGTCCCCTACTGGCTATAGAATTTGGTATTTTTCTGCTGACTGACCATTGCTGATGTTTGCCTGACAAACATTTTAATCCAGACATCCTGCAGATCTCACTAATATTTTTATTTCACATCCACTCAGCCACCACTGTTAAGCAGAATGTAGAGAAGCAGGACCTCTACTAAGAGCAGCCATAAATGATCCTCCAACTTTCCCATTGTGGACAGTTAAAATGTCTGCCTAGTTATGAACCACACTGTACAATTACAGTAACAATTAGGTGGTAGCACAGACCTTAGGATGGGAGGGATGTAAGGAGAAACATCTGTGCCATTGCAAGAAACAAACTTAATTTTTCAGAATAACTGAAGAAGATTTATTCATTTTTAATAAGAAGTTTCGGCTGCTCACTTATTTCCTGAGCAGTCGGTGCTGTTGATGAATCCACGCTTGATACAAACCTGATTGGAAACCTTTGAGTGGTCTTTTTAAGACCTCTGTAATAAACAATGTGCAGAAGCCAAGGAAACCCAACGACTGATTTCTAAGCAGTGTTTGATTCTTTATCTGACCGTGGACACCATATCAAGGCTTTATATCTAAAATCAGATTCACTGTCACTGTAAGGAGATTTTGGGAGTCAAACAGATGTCTGATGGCTTTGTGTTTTCACAGCTCTGCTTTCCGACTGTCTGTCTGTAGTCCACATCTCTGCTGGTAAAATGCAGGTCCTCAAGCCTCGAAAGATCACAGACACTCACGTGATCGTGGAAGTTACTCACCTCTCTTCCTTTGGCCTCGTCTGGAACATAACGAGGTTTTGGAACAAGGAGAAACCAGTTTCGGGTCAGGTTTTGCTGTTCCTTGAACCAATAAACTTTAGAACACAGAGACAAAACCTCAATGTGCTTCTCCTGACAAGCAACATCCCAGTGGAAGAGGTAAAGATCTATGAAAAGCTTCTCACTCAGTCCTAACGTTTGACAGAGCTGCTGAGATATGTAGTAAACGGTTTTGTACTGATGATGAATAGGTAACACTGATCTATTTTGGATAAGCCTTCTAATTAAAATGGTCTTTTAAAGGTCAGGGTGAAATACAGAGATGCTAACTTCATCCAAGCGCCTTCCAAATGTAAACTCATCAAAGATCACAGATACACTGTTCTCTGTCCAGTTGCCTATAAAGTCCAGCCTCCAGTAAGTACTTCTGTTAATTAAACTACTCCTTGTGGTTATGAAACTCATGCTGTGGTCCTGCTTTGTAGGAAGAAGATTTTGACCTGGACTTTGGAACAAACTACCCTCCAACATTTCAGATCCGCCTTCCTGCAGACACTGAAGAAGTCACAATAACAATCCAAGGCCAAACAAACACAGATGTCTGGAAATGCACTATTGATCTACCAGGTAAAACCTATATCTACATCACTCCGCCTGACATTCAATTAGAAATTATGAGTGATATATGAGTGTGCCTTTTTAGTATGCCTTATTTCCTTCATTCGTGATTTACTCCCATTTAAAACATGCTGTGATGTTCTTTTATCAACTCTCATTCTGGCATCATTTGCACTGTCCAGGCCCAAAGGCTCCTTTAGATTCTAAATGCCAAGAGTAAGGCACAGCTGAGGGTCCAGAACAGTCCAAATTCCAGAAATTGATCAGTATGGCTGTTAAACCAGAGTGTCTAGGCTCACCAAATAGGGAGTCAGCAGATGACATGCCAAGTTCTGACTGCGATGGTTTTGCAAAAATACAATGAAGAGCACTGCTTTAACTGTAGACGTAAATTAAATATCAGTTAGGTTTTGGAGGGAGGGTGAAGTTTGCAAATGTAACTCTAAGATTATTGTCTAAAATTGTACACTCAAGCTAGTAAAACAGAACAGGACTGGCAGCAGGTTTAAAGTGAAAAGCTAAACTTCATGCACTGGTGGGAATCCTGGACACAAGCGCAGTAAAGTACAGCCTCCATTCTAAATAGGACACCGATAATGAGGCCATCAGCGGTCAGGTGAGTAATCAGCAATATCTCACAGGTGTGCAGCAAAAGAGCAGGAAGTCGGGTGAGCTCTGCCCCTGAAACAAACAGACCACACACACACACACACACACACACACACACACACACACACACACACACACACACACACACACACACACACACACAGATAGAGGAAACAAGAGAAATAGGTGAGGCAAAGTACATAAACAGTGTCAGTCAGTGAGATGTCCACCCGGGTGCCTGATCAACAACTGACTGTCAGAAGGCACCGAAAACAAGAAAACCTAAAGCACAGAAAACATCTGTTAGTTATCGATGTGTTCCTGTTCACCTGAATCATTTTACTACCAAAAATGAACGCTGTCAGGGCAAACTCCATTATATTGTCCTCTGGAAGTTTTTAGAAGACTAGTCTAATAGTGTGCTGGACATACACAAAAACCCCCAAACATCAAATGTGTTTTTAATACACAAGACACAAGCCGCACAACAGTGTCAGTATGTCACCACTTAACAGCACCAGATGTTTAGCAGGTGTGTATCTGCAGGTTACTCTGTGCACAAAGCAGTATCACATACTCACAAGCTCTGTCACACCTTCACTTCAAGTTACTGAACATCGTTTTCCTGCTTCCTGCCCCCAGAAAGAACACGCAGTCAGTCAACTCCCCAGATCCTCCCACCAGACAAGCATCTGTTTGCAGTTCGGAAGCAGTTTGTGGATCAAGTGTCAGATTCGACTGTGAACCAGCTGCTGGACAGCCTGCTCCAACAGGGAATTATAAATAAGGAAGAAATGGATTCAGCCAGAATCAAACCCAGAGCTGACCGAGCTCGAGATGTGATAGATGTGGTGCGAAACAAAGGAGAAGAAGCCAGCTCATCCCTGATTGATGGCCTCCGTGAGTTGGATCCATACCTTTCTGAAACCCTGCACCTGAGCTAAGATGAGCTGCGACTGTTCTTTAATGAAGTTATTGTAAAGCTGTACTGCTGTCTGCGTTTGGTAAATTTAAAATGAAGGCCTAATTTTTGTTGTTTGTTTCTTGGTTTTGTATATTTTTGTCATCTGTTTTCCTTGTGAGCGTGCTCAGAGAGATAATAAATCAGAGCTCTAATTATTCAGTTGTCTGTCTCTGATATATTTTTATGGTTTCTTTTTGTTGTTTTTTCCTGAACCTGAAATAAAACCACTACCATCATCAGTGTGTGACCTCAAACCATCAGGCACCTCAGAATGAGATGCCATTGAGGCTAACGGATGTGATTGGTCGGTGACCGTCACATAGGTGTGGACTGTGAGAAGGTGTGTGCGTGAATGAAGACAGGTGAGCAGCAGCTGTGATAGTTTGGGCCACAGAGACTTTATTAGAGATTTCAGGTGTTAGGTGAGTCCAACAGGTGAGACAGGAAGTAGAAAACCCTTCACATGTTGGAAGACTGAGGTCTAACTGAACGGCTCTAAACGTCCCACAGCATCAGGACGGTTTCTGATTGGTTATAGTGAGGGGAAGGGGTGGTAGGTGAGGATGAGGGGGTGGGGCTAGAGGTTACAGTGAAACAGGTCACTTCTGTTCAGGCATCATGTCATCGATGCTCTCTCCGGCCTCCAGCCGCTTCTCCATCTCCACCAGCAGGTTAATGCCATCCACCACCATTTGCACCAGCTCCACCTCTGAGAAACCCAGGCGGTCCGCGTTGGAGATGTCAAAGACTCCACCCACTGCTGCAGTGTCCACACCACCTTAGACACAGACAGGAAGTGATGAATGAGACAGCGAGGACAGGTGTTCCTTCCCGTCTGCTGTGCGTGCTCCTACCTGTTCCTCGCTTCTGCAGCCGCAGCCTCTTCAAGATCTCGCCGAACTTCTCGTGCTTGCTCACGTTTGGCAGCTTGACGTGGACGCCAGCTCGCAGGCCGGTGCCCAGGTTGGACGGGCAGGTGAGGATGTAGCCCAGGTGCTCGTTCCACATGAATTCATGACCTCGCTCCTTAAACAGTTCCTCGATCTGCCAGAGAGAGAGGTGAGACAGGTTAGACGGCTTCAGGTGTGACTCTATGGGGTGAGGGAAATAGGAAGTGGCGTGCTGACCTTGGTGAGGCCAGTGCAGAAGCGGGTGAACACCTCCCTCATGTTTCCTCCTTTCTGCATGCTGATGACACGCAGATGATCCTCCTCGTTCACCCAAACCAGGAATGTCTTATTGTCATTGTGCCTGCAGGTGAGTAAGGGGTTATTCTTTCATCCTTGAAAACTGCTTCTTTCACTCCAATTCTCAAAAAGCCTGGTGCAGATCCCAATAATTTTGATAATCTCTGCCCTGTATCAAACCTCACCTTTATTTTGAAAATCCTTGAGAAAGTTGTTGCCTTCCAGCTTCACTCATACCTCAATGACCCTAATCTCTAATGAAAAATTTCAGTCTGGTTTCTGCCCAAATCATGATTCAGAAACGGCTTTGTTAAGGATTACTAATGACCTTCTGATGGCAGCTGACTCTGGTCTTTTAACCATCCTCATCCTTCTCGATCTTAGTCCGGCATTTGACACCGTTTCTCATAATATCCTCCTGAGCATAATTAGCATCCATTGGCATTAGTCACACCTCACTTGCCTGGTGCATCATATCTCTCAGTTTACCCAATTTAAATCACACTCTTCAAGTTTCTTTCCTGTTTCTGCTGGTGTGCCCCAGGATTCAGTATTAGGGCCCGTTTTCATTATCTACATGCTCTCTCTTGGCCAAATATTCCGAAAATATAATATCAATTTTCATTGTTATGCTGATGACACCCAGCTCTACATTTCCTCCAAACCTAATTCATCCCTTCCACCTAACTCGCTCTCGAACTGGAGATCAGATCATGGTTCTCCTTCAATTATCTCAAACTTAACAGTAATAAAACAGAAGTTTTACTTGTTGGTAAAGCATCTATCTTAACCAAATCTCACACAGTTTCTCCATTAATATTGAAAATTCCCCCATCCTTCCTTCCCCACAGGTAAATAGTTTGGGTTTCATACTCGATAGTACTCTCTCATTTCAGTCTCACATTAATTACATAACCTGGTCTGCATACTTTCACTTACATAACATTAATTGACTTCATCCCTTACTCCCCATGCGGATGCCATCCTTGTCCGTAGTCTTATTACTTCCCAGGTCAATTATTCCAACTCCCTTTTATTTGGTCTCCCCAACAAGTCCCTCCATAAACTTCAACTTTTTCAGAATACTCCAGCTCCAGGTCATAACTCATACTCCCATATTACCCCAATTCTTTAACAGCTTCACTGGTTGCCCAGGATAAATTTCAAAATCTTAGTTCTCACGTTTAAGTTTATTTATAACCTTGCCCCTCCTTATTTCTGTGATCTGCTTCATATCACCACTGTGCTGGTGTAGTTCTTCTTCCCACCAGCAAGAGTCGCTACAGTTCTTTCATGCCAAGATTTGTTTGTTATTAGCTGTAGAGTTAGTAATGCAGCACACTTTGAGAAAAGACTGACTCAGCATGTTGTTCAGATAAACATCTGCATCCATCCTCTTCGTTGTTTTACAGAAAGCAT